CATGCTTTTAATTTAATTTGAAAAGTTTTGCATGCCCATTTGGCGCATTTAACCCCTTTGCCTGGACGAAAAAAATAAAAAGAAATATCATAAATAATGATGATAACTGTCCAAAGTTTGCGAGGCATGCCACGGCACAAATAGCCACTCCCACAAGGGCCCGCACCAAATGCAATTATCTGGACGGAGGGCAGGGAAAGGGGCGAGAAGAAAAATATGACAATTAGGCGCGTAAACTAATTGAGGCTGGCAGCGGACAATTTGAGGGATTATAAAGGGACCACCCAAAGCTTCAAGTTTAAATGGGAAGCAAAAGGCAGAAAAAACAAATTTCAAATTGATCTAAAGAAAAATTTCCTTTCTCACAGCAAATTCTGGAAACAATCAAAGAAATTTCTATAGCTGTGTGTGGAATCAATGTTCCTTCGCTTTAGAGGGTAAAAAAAGCTGTTCTGTTGGTGTCATATGTATATTAAATCTTACCAGCTGTTTATTTTCAATATATTTCATCTTTAAAGCCCTCTCCCCACCTTTCAGTCACTTTTCTTTCCCTTTTCTGAGGCATCTTTTGGGCACTTTTGGCCCTGCAGATTCGTTTTTTATTGTTGGCTGGCTCAAGTTTGTGGCGTGGCTCAAGTTATAAATCACAAAACTGAAACCATTGAAGATTTATGAGCTGCTAAATATGCTGGCGAGGGTCGTGGCTTGGTCATTTTAGCCAAAAACAGGAAAAAAACTTTGTCCACATATCAAACTTTAAAACGCAATTATCGTATATGTATCTACGCGTATGAATGTATCTGTATCTGAGCTTTTGTGTGTTGTATGTGTTCGGTCTTCGTCTGTGTTGTCTTTCACTTGCTCGTATAAACAAAACAAGGTCCTAAATAAACAAAACGAGCAAAAGAATCACCAGAAAATGAGTAAAAAGTTCCGCCAGACAAAAATACAATTTGATTTTAATTGAAAAATAGCAACAACAATAAAAGTAGCATCAAACCACACCAACCCGAATATATGGGAAAAACTAAAGGTGCTGAATGATGGGATCTGTCTAGATGTATTAATCGATGAAAGCGGTAAAGGATTAAGAAAGATGTTAGATTTCTACACGGACATACACAGATACAAGATCTTTCATGGCAGATGTCTTGCTTCGATCTTATCTCTCTTAGCTCCCTACCTTCCACCTTGAACGGCAGAGCTTATGAAAATTATTCCAATTAATGGCACACACTTTGTGCCTTCCTTCTCTTTCTCTCATCTCTCTGCCAACCGCACTTAAAATGCCATTAACAAAAGCACAAACAATTTTTACACTCTTCGTGCCAAGAAGAGCAGCCCAAAGCAAACAAGAACTAGTCCCAACAAAAAAGAATGGGAGGAGAGAGCAGGAGTCACAACAACTACAATAGGAACCAACGGAATTTCCTTTTTATTTTATTTATTTTCTCAAGAACTTTCTACCTTTTTCCAACTCATTTTCAAGTGTTCCCACTTAGTTGGGTGTTTTTGTTGTTGCTGGGGGTGGGGGTGGGGGTGGGGCAAAGCCATTAGAAAAGGGCAGTTGGGAGACGAGGAGCGGCTGGCGTTCCTCTGCCATCTTGATGGGGTTAGCATTGTTTTTGTTGGCTTAAGTCAACAAGGAAGGTCGAGGGTTAATGAAAGTTGGCTTGGAAGCTTCGGTGTTGGTTCACGGTTTGCTGCTTAAGTTGTTCCAATACTTTTGAGGGTGCAAAAACGGTGCGCAAGGACTGCTGCAGGAGCAGCTGGAGGGAGGTACTTTGATCAATTTATTTATTTGTACTTATCATATTTACTTGTATCTATATTTAATAATGCTTGCTGTCTATTTTGAGTAAACTTAATTTTTATATTTTCCTCCTTAAATTCCGTTTCGGCCAGGCGTCGTCCATCGCAGTTTCCGTGGTGTAGTGGTTATCACATCCGCCTAACACGCGGAAGGCCCCCGGTTCAATCCCGGGCGGAAACAGTTGAAAACGAAATTTATTTTTAATTCTATTTTATATTATTTATTTATTTTGCCCTTCTATTTAATTAAATCTTCATCATGAACTTGACCTTATCGCGTTGTTTCTTCTTCAAGGCCTCGTACTTTTTGCGCTCAATATTCTTGGTGAGAAATTCTTGGAATTTATGACGCGTATCCAGGGATAGACCTGTATTACGTAAGTCCAATTTTTCCAGAACTTTATTGCAGACAATGATCTTTAGGAGGTTTCTGCCAAAGTCCTGCAAAAAACGGAAGTTAGCTGATATTAATATTTGGGGGTATTTCGAGCACACCTCTCCCAAGGCATTGTTGGATATGTCGATGCAAAGCAGCGTCGTGTGCTGACAAATGAGCATCATAAACAGCTTCGTAATGGTCTCCGTAATGCAACACGAGCCCAGATCCAGCTCCTTGATGGGCATGGCCTGAAGGGTGTGGAAGATGGCAGCAGCGCCATCGCTCTGTATGGGATTCAGACTCAACACCAGACGCTGCAGGGGCACGTGCCGCAGAGTGCGACTGAGGATGTAAGCTCCCTCTTCAGCTGAGAGATACAACTATATTAAAGGAGTGCTAAATCTTGAGATAGAAGCTCCACTAACTGATCTTGTTGTTAGTCAGATCCAAAACAGTCAAAGTGCCGAAAGACTCCCTGCCGCAGGTTTCCAGGAAGCCGCGAATGCCCGCATCGCCCACCGCACAGTGGATGAAAGACAATTCGCTCAAATGATGACAGCCCTTGTCCAGACTGTGGGCCAGGTAACGCATCTGATATGGCAGCAGTTTGGTGTTGTGCAGACTAACCATAAAGCAGAACAATCAATTAACCAGCGAGAGTTTTCCGTAATCCTTACCAGAACTGTCGCAGCTCGTGGCACTGGCTGAGCCCCTTGGCCAGGAGCAGTATGTCCCTGGGTGTCAATTGGTTACAGCCCGTTTGGTAATTACAGCCAGCCGTCTTGGTGCTGTAGCTCAGTCGCAGTTGGCGTAAGTCCGGCAGATTGCTCAGCAGGTAATCAAGCGGAATGTGATCTGCAGATTGCAACGAAACGAATACACTCTCAGACATAAAAGACTCCACTGTGGAGTAAGCAAGAGCATCTCCCATTCGTTGTCTCACCGTTTCCCTCGATGGTGGCTGGTGAGGGCTGCAGGAAATTTATCTCCAATTGATTTATGTACGCCGCACAGATGTCCAAGGTGGCCTGCACGTTGCCCTCCTGCTCGTAGTCGCCGGTTTGCATATTCTCAATAAACTCCTGCACATGTCGCTCCATGTAGATGTTAATCCAGGGCCGGCGCTCCCTGCCGCGCGCCTGCAAGGGGGCGGCCCGCCAGCGCTGCTCGTAGCCCCGCTCCCAAAAGAAATCCTCACGAATGTGCGAGCTGAGCAACTGCAGCGGTAGCTGTGTGTCCAGATGACTGAGTATATAGTTACGGTCCTCGCGCCGTCCCAGTTGCTCGAACAGCGGCAGCTCTAGACACGCAAGATATTCAGATATTTTCTATTGGTGTTTTTTTGGGTGTGGGGGCTACCACTCACCGCTCCAGTTCTCCACGATGGCATCCAGCACAAGATGTCGCAGACTTTTCGCTTGATTTGTCTGGCCTTCGTGAGCTTCGTTCTGGCTCTGGCTCTGGCTCTGCCTCTGGGTTGGGGTCTGGCTTGTGTCCCATGATTTACCGCTGACTTTGGGCAGCTTGACATCCTTGAGATTGAAATAGGCCTTGAAGGTGTCGATGGAGACGGTGCTGGGGAACTCGCAATACGTGAAATCCATTTGAAAATAGTTTCTCGTTTCTGTCAACTAGAGATACAGAGATACAAACACTGATGGAGCTGCCGGATAAGCAATGTTTATTAGTCCGGCTTTTGGGTTGCCAGGAAACGGTTGTCAACGTGTAGGTCCTTTTGTTTGCACGGAGAATGATAAGAAGGGAGGGTGCAATGATGGAAACATCTAGAGTATATAAAGAATAGAGTACAATTTGAATATAGTTTCTTGAGCTAGAAACTTGGTTCTATTCTATATTCGCACGTGTTTTAAGAAACTTTTCCTAATCAGTTTTCTATAGAGATTTAAGTAAAAGTTTTAAATATTTTCAAGCTCCTGCTAAACCTCAAGAAATATGCAAAATCATCGGTTTATCTTCGCCTTCTTTGAACTCCTCTGGCATTTGCATAACAAAGTCGTTTGGGACAACGCGATAAGGCTACAAGTGGCAAGCCGATTATGACCCTAATTACATGACATTACAATTCCACACTCCACATTCCCCTCCAGCACACCGTGGGCACCTTGGGTATATCAAAAATATTGACTTGGCATCCTTCATTGTGGCCAATCAAGGCCAGGGATATCTCTACCTGAGGATTAGGCCAGCTGACATGACTGTCTTGTGCTTTGGCTTCTCCTTTCGACTTTCTGGTGTAATTTTTACGGCTTAGCTAGGATTCAGCGGCGTCTGCGAATACTTATGCAAAGTATTTCCACGTTATTTATGTCTCGGCCTTGACGATGCGACGCGTTGGCCAAGAATAAATAACCAACCCCCTGAATGGGTGTGCTCCAAGGGAGTCCTGGATGCTGTGTGCCCGCCATGATGCGCATTATTATGGCCAAATTATACACCTTACGAGTATCCAAACGTTGCGCTTTTTTCATGCACGCAAAACCAAATTTTTATGTAAAGCAATTTATTTTGAATTATTTTTATGGCACTTAACGGTTGCCCGACCCAGCCCCCCCTGCTCGAGAGGGTAGCTGACTAGCCAAAAATTGGTTTGCCATGGGGTTGCGTGCTCCTCGAGGAGCGAACTCCCTTTGGTTATTGTGCGAATTTGGAGTGATAAATTATGCGAAATCGATGCGGATATTGACAGCAGTTTGAGCGCTTCAAGAATAATGTTAGCCAGGCGCCACAATGGAAATACAAAATACAAACCAATCGATTATCGGTTACTGTTTAACATTTTATTGGAGCATCATCAATACTTATTTGGATTTGGTTAACATTTCACTCGCTAAAAATTATATCGAAAGTTGAGTACGCCACCAACGTCGGATTTGCCGCGATGTGGTCCACTCATGTGGCGCATGGCATTGCCGGTGGCATTCAGATTGACATTGCCACTGGGTGAGGTGTAGAGATTGGCCGTGCCACTGGCCTGCATGGTGGTCACATTGAACTGGGGCACACGATTAACCCCCAATGCGGCGGAATGACCGCCGGATGTCTGCATGTTGAGTCCCGCGCCAAACTGATCTTGTGTGCGACTGTGACTGTGATACCCTGTGGCATTGAGGTTGGTGTGCTTGTTCTGCAGGAGACTCGCCTGAGCCGAGGCTGTGGTGGTGCTACCAATGCCCTCAATATGACCGTGCTGCACTGACAGACCATGTCCATTTCTTTTGAATGGGAGAAAGTTATTTAGATTTCTATAGAACTTAAAGGATACTCTCGACCTACGCATTAACTGCTCCATAGACGCCCTTGGTGACGGGACCGCCAGCACCCGGGGTCGCTGCGAAGACTCCTGCCCTGGCTTTGGCCTGCTCGTGTCCAACCATCACTCCACACTTGGCGAGGGCCTCTCCTGTCTTGGGGTTTCCGGTTGCCTGACACTCCATTATGTGTTCTTTAAATTCTTTTGACTGTCTGCTGGGACTATACGATGTCTTCTGACTGTCTGCTGAGGGTCAGCAAAGGCTTATATAGGCTGAAATCTTTTGTCACAAAAAGAAACCCGCTCCACTCATGATCTCGGTACATTCCCTTGCCATGTTCTCTTCACGATCTGCACTACCTATCAATTAAGGCATGGGCGTAGCTGGGAACCTACAGATGAAAAGGGGATACTTAAAGGAAATATAAATAAAATAAATAAAAAGCCACAGCTGGTGGTATATATTTTCTCCCATTAGTGCCACGTCCATGAATAAAACCACAAGATACACACATATGCAGCTGTATTTCCCCTTTGACAGGAATGAATAAGATGATCGGGGAGTCACTAGAAGTGCATAAATATGTACATATAATAAAACTTATATTTATCTTTATTTGGTCAACCACCTCATCGTATACCATCACACACACCTTTGGATATGTATACGTAGATAAAAAATCTAGAAAATAATTCTCAACATTCCCAAATATTTCATAATTTGATGCAATTTATTTGTTTGCTTGTTCCATTCCACTAAAAATGTTCCAAATACTTATTTAATCACCAAATTTTCTTTACGGAAGGACAGAAATAATTATTGCTCTTTGGACACGCTGGAATCAGTTGGCGCCGTGGCTTAGTTGGTTAAAGCGCCTGTCTAGTAAACAGGAGATCGTGAGTTCGAATCTCGCCGGGGCCTTCCCTTATCTGTGTTTCATCTATTTTTTTCCCCCTCTTAGTTAATTGATATTTTAAAGAACAATCACTTTAGCATTGAAATTTTGAAAATTAAAAAAAAATAGCAAGTGGCGCCGTGGCTTAGTTGGTTAAAGCGCCTGTCTAGTAAACAGGAGATCGTGAGTTCGAATCTCGCCGGGGCCTTCGAGCAATTGTGGTTCAACGTTCAACTTCACTTCTTTTTTTCTGCCATTTTTATGTTGTTCTCTTCTCTTTTCTGATTCGCATTCAATGCAGTGAGTGCGTTGCAGCTGTCAGTCTTCGAGCTCCCAGCGTGCAAACACAGGTAAGATAAAGGGGCAGCTTTCGTTTTTCTTTTGTACGTCTGCAGTGCTGACAGCTGACAAAAAAGTTTTGCGTAAACAGTGGCAGCGGATTCGATTCGCCTTTATGGACATATACACGTATACGTATCCACCCTCAGACCCTACCTAGGTAGAAAGAGGGCCACCTGTTGTGGTCCTTGCATCGGCGATGCATAACGGAAACAACGGCACTGGGAAACGGAAATGTTCGACAGCATGTTGCGATGTTGTCGACTCCGGGTGGCCGTGCCCTGGAGTGGATGGAGACTTCAGGACTCCAGGACTTCGGACTGAAGGGGCACGGCATATTTGCCGTGTAAATGGAACGTACGGCTTTTCAATTTCATTCGCTTCTACAGATGGGGAAGGGGACTGACTGCCTGCAATTAGCCGTCAGAAAGCTTATTTGTTTCAATTTATTTACAGCCACTCGCTGTTGCCTTATCTTTGTTTTTTATACCCAAACGCACCCAAGCCCGATGTCCTAGTATAACCCCGGACGGAGGCGACTGCCCACATATAATTATCTACGAGGCAACTTCTGACAAGCGGCTAACAATGGTGGAACAATGCACACGCAGACAGGACAGAGTCAGCGACAGCATCATACTACGAGGCATAATAATTTTTATGGATTTAATTTCCAATGTCCTTCCCTTTGGTTGTGGCTTTGTGTGTCGGAAACAGCAATGTCCTTTTCTAATTTCCTCTCGAGAATTAATATTTGTGTCTGTTGCTGACTGGGTCTCTGGTTTCCCGATCAAATCAATGATACTTAGTTGTGGGGCTAGATAGCTCTCCGACAGCTCCATTTGATGTCCAAGAAGAAAGAACTTTCCCAAACTTATCTCTTTGATATTTACCCAGACTTCCTTCAGTCATAATAAGCTCTATTCCTCCCCCTAACATGTGTTCTTGCTTCGTACACATGTACATATATCATTTGCAATGCTCTGACGCCTACAGTCCGGTCTGTCCCATTTCATTTTCACCCTCAGACCCGGCAGCAGCAGCTTCTCATCATCACCCCGAGGATTTTTAGCAATTGTCAGCAATTTTCCCAATAGACAGCACAAAAACTATCACACAAAACCACTAAGCAAATGTCTGTTCCCCACACAATGTCCATTCCATAGGAGAGGGATGCTGTGTATTTTTCTGATTACCCCCGGACGAGAGTCCCAGTTTCAGTCCCGCCATGTGGTGGGCGTGTACATAGCATAGGCATTAACATAATTTATGTGGTTCCGCCGGATTTAGCTTTGTCGTAAAAAAGGACACTCGGCCATTGTCCATTGTCTATTTCAAGCTTCGATAACAAAAGGCACAAGGAAAGTCCTCGCCCGTCCTGAACTGGACCGGACCCGGACCCGGCTAAGGATTGTGGTTTTTATTGTTTTGATGGCAACAAAGTTTATGAAAAGTTTCTCTGGCCGGTTTCTCTCTAATTTCGTTTGTAGTTTTTCTGTTGACTTTGCATATTTTTTTAATTAAATGAAAGTCGAAGAAGAGAAATCAAAGTCCCCTCGTAATAGTATTTCGCTTGGGAGCTAATCTACCAGACCATTACTCAACTTTTCCCCCAGGCTCTGCCAGAAACTGTGTCCCGAATGGGTAGGGACTTACGGAGTTCATGCCTGGTTGGCAAGGGCCATAAAAACGTGCGAAATTTTCACGGGCGCGTGAATTTTCACAGCCTTTGGATGTTGTGCTGTTTTTGTTTTCCCAGACACGAACGAGTGGGCGGTGGCTCTCCCACTGCTCACACCTTTAACTGATTGCTGTCACCTGTTTTTTGCACGATTTATTCGCATGACTCAATGGGTATGTTGGGTATGTGAAGTGGAAGATGTGACACAACCAAAAATACCTGTCTAGGGTGTTCCAATGTCGGTATATAGGACATGTCCAGATTCTTAGTACACCTGGCACGCAACACTCATAACTCAAAACGTTTCGTGGCCCCTCTTCTGGGCGGCATGCAGTGTGTAATGTGGCAAAATATAATCAAGTGGAAAAAGTCAAAAACTTCAAACTTTTCTTTACGTATAATAATGAAAAATAGCTAGCACGTGCCGCAAAAGGTCAAAGGTTGAATCCAGAGTTGCCAAAATCTTTCAAAAGTTAAGTTTTCAATTGCGTAATATATGGTAAAACTTATTAAACAAGAATAAAAGGAACTGAAAATAAAAAAGAAAACAAAAAAAAATGCAAAAGTAAATCCTGGAGATGCGGGGCATCGATCCCCGTACCTCTCACATGCTAAGCGAGCGCTCTACCATCTGAGCTACATCCCCTGATGACTCTCTAGTGTCTTGGGTTTCATTTGAAAGCCTTTGCAACTATTTGTTTGAATATCTGCTTAATTTTCGTGTGAAGAAAAAGCTTTTCCCAATAAGCTTTTATTAATTTCAAATTATTGAAGGAAACTGAAATAAAGCCATAGAATATTTTGACTTGTAATCAAAAGAATATTAAAAACAAAAATAATTTTTAATGATGATTAATTTGTTTCCGCCCGGGTTCGAACCGGGGACCTTGTGCGTGTGAAGCACACGTGATAACCACTACACTACGGAAACCTTTGCGAATTTACTGGCAAAATGCCATGACACTACACTACTCAACAAAATTGAACTTTTCTGTTCTTCAAGTAACCCAACCAAAATTTTCTGATAGATTTGGGTGGGACATTAAAATTGTTTAATGAATTATGTTTTTTCTATGGCACAACTTTATATACCCGGTACTCGAAGAGTAAATATTGTTATTGTATTTGTGGTTGTATGCAACGCAGAGAAGGAATCGTTCCCGAACCTTCAAAGTATATAATTTATATTCTTGATCAGCATCAATAGCCGAGTCGATATATGTAGCTATCTCCGTCTGTCCATCCGTCCGTCCGTCTTGTTGAGCGCCTGGATCTCAGAGACTGTAAAAGCTAGAGCACCCGAAAGTTGCATCCAGATGGCTGTATGCTCACACTGTTACGAGTGTTTTTCAAAAATTAGCCCAGCCCCTTCCGCCGCCCATCTGCTGTGTCCAGAAATTTGAAGATAAGATAAATCTAAAAACATTTCTGTAGGAAATGGCCATATCCATCAGATCACCGAATTGTGATTAGATTGGATAATTATTATAGCTAGAATGAAGAAATTAATTTTCCGAGGCTAAACCCACCCCGTCCCACAGCTGTTTTTATTTTTTGCCCACTCTCTCATTCCACACTCTGCTTCGGGCAGTGCGCGTCTCGAGGGGAGGGGGGAGAGCTAAAAGAGCGTGTTGGCGTGAGAAGTGTTGTTTTTTTTTTCTCTCTCTCTTTATATTTACAATCTGTTTGTTTAAACAATAAGTAAATTGTATAATTAGTATTAAATTATATTAAAATAGTAGTTTTCCAATGAGCCCTGATATTATATATAACATCTTTGGGTTGCTAGCAGTCCCTTAGAGCTGTATAGCGTAGGTCCAAACAGGCTTTAGTATTGATTTGTAGAGGCGAATTTTGTTTTCCAAAGTGTTTTCTGATTTTCGACTTATCAACCAGGACATTTTTAGTGTTTTAAGTCTAAGTTGTTGACATTTTGCTTAAATGTGGTTTTTCCATGTTAATCTGCTGTCAATAGATATGTACATATGTAGAGAAAATGTAAAATTTAAAAATTCACTAATGTACAGATTTACTATTGAGAACCGGGTCGGTCCCTAATCGTTTTGTGTATAATTTCATACATTTTAAAGTCAAAATGTCGTTAAAAATACCGCACAACAAGGGTATGAATGACATTGAAAAAGTAAAAAAGCAACTTGTTCCCGCCCGGGTTCGAACCGGGGACCTTGTGCGTGTGAAGCACACGTGATAACCGCTACACTACGGAAACATCTGAAGATCAAGCGACAGCAAACTCCATTCAAATGGACAGCCGAGGGAATGAATGTTTTGGGCCTTGATAAGG